AAAAAAAGATGAGGAGAACGGAGAAGAAAAGATTTGGGCCGGCAAGGAGAGGTGGCATCGAGGGTCTGTCTCAGACCTAAGTTTGAGATTTCTAGTGAGCGTCACACCAGGTGGACAGGTCGTCCAGGCCGTTGGATAGCTGACTCTGGGTTATCAGACGCGGGATCTGAATTTGGGAGTCATCAGCCCACAGACAGCCTTTTACAGAGATGGGGCTGGACCAGCTCATCCCGCGAGGTCCCCTCCCCCACTGCAGCCCTGGAGTGGCACCCTAGCCTCCCCTCCCCGCCACACCTCCACCACTCAAGGCCACAGAACCTTCTGTGATCCCCAACTGGACATGCCCTCTGGCATTTCTAAGCTGCCCTTTGCTCTGCCTCCGCCCCTGTGTGGCCCTCCCCCAGCCCTCTGTTAACTTACACGGCCTCTTTGTCTGAGGGCCTGAGGGCCCCGCACGCTGGGCAGCGGGGGGGAGGGGCCCACTGGCCTTGAGTCCCCAGCCCCAGGCAGTTAGCCGAGCTAACTGGGTGGCCTGCATGGGGGCGGAGGCCAAGGGCCTCCTCAGAAAGCCAAGAGCCGTCAGACGTGGCTGCCCCAGGGCTGAGGCTCCAGACCCAAGGAGGCCCGCACGTAGGGCAGACCCGTGACTCTTCCTGGTGCAGATGTTGGTAAGCTCTCCTGGTCTTGCGGGTAATAGGGAAGCAGAGCCCTGGAGTCAAGGGCGCCCAAAATAAAGGCTTCCCTCAACACGTTTTCCATTTCAGACTCCAGTAACGTTGTCTGTGGCACGTGTATTCGTATTCTGGGCCAACTGAGGCACATTTCACTGGTCTGCACCACTCTGCTTATGGTTCCCTCAGCATTTCTGCCGTTGCCCCTTTCCTTCTGCAGACTGGCCTTCTGGTAACATTTCCAAGTCAGAAAGGACTTTCTGCAGACAAGCATTCTGTGCCCCTTAGACCACCAGAAAAAATACCCAGTCCTTACCTGGGAGGCTGGTTGCATTTGCAGGATTTTTAGAGAGATTACTTTCATTGTCCTTGTTAGTAGTCAGTGCCTAAAAGAGAGAGGCCCCCGTCAGCCCGTTTCTGCAGATCCCACCATCATTTGGGTCCCAGCTCGGGCACCCCCTCCAAGACCATCTGCCCTCTGTCTCAGGGACCTCTCCATTCTGACCTGACACACTCAGCATCTGCACTATTATTTGTACTAGTTGTGTCTATAGTGGGACTTGCCTACTCAAGGTGGGACTTCCTCCCATCTGCCTCTCCACCAAGAGCCGGGGGCACAGCACCTTCCCCAGAGGAGATACTCAACAGACAGGTGAACGCAGCACTGTCCCCCAAGTCCCACGCCAGGGCATACGTGCCACCATGTCCTGGGAAAACCACAGACCAGAATCCTGGGCCCATACTCACTAGCTCTGTGACCTTGGGCAGATTTTGGAACCCCTGTGGGTGTCACTTTCCTCCCTTCTAGGCACAGCCATCCTGTGCTCTGAACCTCGTTATCATCAGGATGGAACACGACTGTAGGTGCAAGCCCAGAGCGGAGCACAGCTGAGCCGGCCCCCAGCCAGCATCCGTCCCCACACCCTGGCTCGGGTGGGAGCGATGTGGCCACACCGCATAGGCTTCCCCCGGGAGCTGCTTCTGCTGGTGCCCAGAGAGCCCTGCAGATGTGGGTAAGGAGCAAGGCCCCAGGCTCCCTCCCCGGGCCGCCTAGCTCCAGGAGGCCCTGAGCCTCGCAGCTCAGCTGGCCCTTAGGGGATTGAGGACCACAGGAGGACATGCAGTTGGATGCGAAACTGGATTACCCAAAGATTTGTTAAGCAGCTTCGGAGGTAATCCTCTTTCCAGAAAATTAAGACACCAGGAGCGCACAGAGGAAGGGCTCGGGTGAACTGAATCGGAGTCACAAGCGAGGCCCTCAGTGATGTCCACCAGTCCGGAGGTGAGACAGAAGCCACGAGACCCAGGGGTTCTGCAGGCCAGGCCAGCGCCGCTCCACGCGCCACCATGGCCACAACAGATCTGGGACGTCGGAACTGCCCTCACCCCGTTTTACAGAGGCTTGAAGACGACAGTAACGTCCACGGCCACAGCTTCAGTGCAGAGCTGGGATCTGAACCCAATCCGGTCTGGTGCCAGCCCGCAGTCCCCACCCCTGGGTGCTGCTCCCCTGACCCCTTACAAGAACACAAGCTCACCTGCGTGGAGGACGCCGCCTCACTCTCCGCTGGAGGGCTCCTGGATTCTGTGGGGGGGGGGCGGGGAGACTCACTATTAATGACCCACCGACCCTGAAGCCCCATCTGACGGGCCTCAGGCGCAGGGAAGAACCCACTGCCGTGTTATTTAAGAGAGCTTTATGGCAGAAAAAACCACGTAGTCAACCCCAAGGGATTAGTTATATAAATGAGGATATACCCGTATGTTGCAATAGTCTTTAAAAATAAATTAGAAAAGGGGCGCCTGGGTGGTGCAGTCAGTCGAGTACCCCACTCTTGGTTTCGGCTCAGGTCATGATCTCAGGGTCGTGAGATCGAGCCTCACACAGGGCTCCACACTCAGAGTGGAGCCCGCTTAAGATTCCCTCTCTCCCTCTCCCTCTACCCCTCCTCCTGCTCACATTCTCTCTCTCTCTCGCAAATAAAATCTTTAAAATAAATAAATAAATTAGAAAAACGTTGAGGATATAATGTATGAAAAACACAAGACAAAGAAAGGCTCATGTGGTCTGATCCAAAGTCCCTAAAGAAACGTATTTATATCATTATTTATTGAGTATTATACTATACACCATAACACATTCACACACAGGAGGAAAACAACACAAGGACACATCACCAGAGATAAGCATTATTTTTTAAAGATTTTATTTATTTATTCATGAGAGACAGAGAGAGAGAGGCAGAGGGAGAAGCAGGCTCCCACGGAGCAGGGAGCCCGAGGCGGGACTCGATCCCAGGACCCCAGGACCACGACCTGAGCTGAAGGCAGACGCTTAACCATCTGAGCCACGCAGGCGCCCAAGCATTGTTAACATTTTAATGTTCTTCTACTCACCTTTTTGCAACAAAAAAATATTTAAACAAGTTCTCATCTGCCTGGGTGGGTTTGGCAGGCTTGGCCCAAGAAGGGACGTGATTCAGGCACACACACGAGCTCCCCACCTCCTGAGAGCATTATTTCTGCAGAAACCGCCCCCCTGGGCGCCTGGGGGGCTCGGCCGTTGGGCATCTGCCTTCGGCTCAGGTCCTGGTCCCGGGTCCTGGGATCGAGCCCCGCGTCGGGCTCCTGCTCCGTGGGAAGCCTGCTTCTCCCTCTCCCACTCCCCCTGCTTGTGTTCCCTCTCTCGCTGTGTCTCTCTCTGTCAGATAAATAAATAAAATAAAATAAAATAAAAAAAAGAGGGGGGTGGGGGGATGGGTTAGCCTGGTGTTGGGTATTAAGGAGGGCACATTCCGCGTGGAGCACTGGGTGTTATGCACAAACAATGAATCATGGAACACTACATCAGAAACTAATGATGTAATGTATGGTGATTAATATAACAATAAAAAATTATTAATAAAAAAAAGAAACCACCCCCCCACCCCAGCAGCGGGAGGTCAGGCATCGAAGCAAGAGCATGAGCATGAGGCCAGGCTCTGGGGCAAACGTGAGCCGAAGGGACTCAGAGCTGAACTGTGACAGGCAACGGGCGGAATGCTCTGGATTTTAAAATATTTTCTTTTCAGTCCATCATTTTTCCATCAAGAAGTTAAAAATACCACAGAAGTGGTTTACACAAAGATGTGGAGCCTCCCTGAAGCAGGAGTAGAATAAGGGACAGAGGAGAGGGTGGTACTGCTTTGTCCTCGGAGAGAACTTCCAGCAGGACGGTGCCAGCCCAGGAGGGGAGGAAACCGCACACTAGCAGCCTGGAGCGGACAGCAGAGCATGTCCACCCTCCCCACCGTACAGAGGAAACAGAGTCCCAGAGTGGTAAAGCTACTTGCCCAAGATCACACAGCAAATCAGCCCCAAACCAGCCTCGGGGACTGGGAAGGACCCAGCCTGATCCCTTGGTGTTCCTCCCTAGCCAAGAACAGGTAGACTCACAGCAGGGGTGAAGGAGGGATGAGCAGAGGGTACAGGGTACGAACGAAACCGAAAACCAGGAGTCGGGGGCAGCCCTACCCAGGGGACACGGCTGACCCCAGATGGCCATTGGACGCAGGGCCTCCCACACTCAGCCACACTCAGCATCATCTGTGGCCTTTGGGGTCCCATCCTTGACCTACGGCCTCAGAACCTTGGGGATGGGACCCAGACATCAGGCAGTTTTAAAGGCTCTCCAAATCCAGAGAGATGTTCAGTTAGAAGGGGAGACCCATCCAGTTTCTACCCTCGGCTCTGATCCCCAACATGGCATGTGGTCCAGAGAAGGATGTTCAACTGTTGGTGGCTTAGATTTCCGGGTATAAAGTGGAAATTTTATCTCAACCCAGAATGAATACAGTTTTTCTAATGCATGAGAAAATTAAGTCTTACATAATAAGACTTTTTAAAAACTCCCGATTCAGACCATCGTGTCCCCAGAGATGGAAGGTAAAGCAACTTTTGCATTGTTGTGAATAAGAATCACTTCATTTGGCAGACGAAGAGACCAGGGCTCAAGGTGCCTGCGACTAGGGGAGCTAGCACCAGCCTTTGTGGGCAGGTCTCTACGCGGGATCCAGGCTCCTCGGCCCGAGGCTCCGTTCCACCACAGGCTCCCAGGGCCCCCGTGCGGAGCTCCGTCTCACAAAGACACCAAGGCTCGGAAGGGGAGCACATATTTTTTCTGTTTCGGCAAAAGTATTTCATATTTCCTAAAGCCTCCCTTCAGCTGGCATGTTGGGTGAAGGAGGGGAAGGAACGGACAGCCACAGGCCCTCGCGTGCCTGGAAGTGACTTGTGGCAACAAAACCACACCAACTGTAATGATCTCCAGCATTTACTGAGCGCCTACTATGTGCCAATCTCCCCACCTGGCATGGATCAATCTCTGTAGTCTCCGCAACAATACTCTGAGACAGTATCATGATTTCCCCACTTTACAGATGGGGAAACTGAGGCACGGGGAGGTTAAAGAATGTGTCCAAAGTTTTGTAAGAAATAAGTCTTTCAGGCTCTAAGAATGAACTTTTTTTTAAGATTAACTTATTTATTGGAGAGAGCAAAAGCAGGGGGAGGGGCAGAGGGAGAGAGAAAATCTCCAGCCGACTCCCGGCTGAGCACGGAGCTCGCCAATCTCCTGACCCTGAGATCACAACCTGAGCTGAGATCAAGAGTTGGACATTTATCTGACCACACCACCCAGATGCCCCTGGGCTTTTTTTTTATTTTTAAAACCATCTCTAGGTTGAGCATTCCTCAGATTCAGAGACTCTATCTTACTCATCTTTGTGAACCTAGAACTTAACACATCTTTCTGAAAAACTGTGTAGTTAGTAAAATTTCTACTATGGAAAAGCACTTAGGGAAGACTATTAGAAACATTAAATGTAGTTGCCTCTGCGTGTTTTCCTTGTATGGAATATTTCCAAGATTAGAGGAGGTACTTTCATTTTCATAACAAAATGAATGAATGACAAGATTAAGAGACCACATGTGAGGGTTTCTTCTTTTTTCCCACACGAGTTTTTAAAAACAAGAAACTCATTTCCATTAACTTGAGGACAGGTTTGAGTTCATTTGCTTGGGTTATAGGATAGAGAAATGCAATATAAAAGATGGCAGAGGTCTTCATGACAGATAAATGATCTTGGCCAAGACACTGAACATCTCCTAGACGTTCCGAGCAAGGTCGCTGGCTTCCTCCCAGACACACCTATGCTGAAAGGAGCGCCTGCCTGGCACATTAATATTTGCTTAAACACTGACCTGATTCTCAGCATTAGGAACAAAGAACATAACAGCCCCCAGGGATGTGATGCCCAGCATGATGACCATGACTAATAGTACTGCATTGCATATTTGAAAGTTGCTAGGAGAGTGGACCTTAAAAGTCGTCATCACAACAAAAAAAATTTGTAACTATGCATGGTAACGGATGCTAAGCAGACTTAATGTGATCAAACGGATGCTAAGTAGACTTAATGTGATCACCATTCAGCAACATAAATATCAAATCATTAAGGTGTACACCTGAAACTAATACCATGTTATATGCCGATTACATTTCAATATGGATAAAAAATGAGGGGGGGGCAGAGAACAGAAAACATCTTTTTCTAACTAAGTGTTTATATATTATGAGCAGTTAAGGGCAGGGCTCGGGGGCAGGAGTACAGAGAAGGAAACATGAGTGAGCCAAGAATAAAAAGCAGAAAAACAAAGAAAAAGAGGCGGAGGGTGGTGGCAGAGAGGTGAGGTGACTGGGAGATAGGGACGAACCCCAGCGCCGGAGCAGGAAGGGGGCAGAGGGGCGGGCTTCCGGCACAGATTTCCACTCGGGGTTCCCTCACTGCTTCACACCTGCAAACCACCCGCCAGAAAGTCAACCACTGCTCCCCTTCGAGCAGACACCAAACCCTCAGGGAGAAACTGCTCCTGCGGAGCAGTCAGTCACCCCCACTGGTCTGCAGGGAAGCCCGCTGCTCTGGGGCCAGAGCGGAAAACTGGCCCAGAGGCCGCAGGACACCCGCGCGGCCCACGCGGTCCTCTTTTCTTTTATGAAATAATGGTAACAGTAAATGCCAATTGCTAGTTTTTACTTAACTGTTTATGTCCTTACTTAGCAAAATTAAAAGTTGGCAACCTTATATGGTTCCCAAAGACAGCGGAATCCCAGGGCCCAGGACCTGGCGAGTTAGAGCAGCACACTGGTGACTGCGGCCTAGCCAGGTGTGCGAGCGTGTGTGTGCATGTGTGGCCAGGCCGGGTTCCATGTGCGTGTGTGTGCGTGTGTGCGGCCAGGCCGGGTGTGTGTGCATGTGTGTGTGCATGTGCGGCCAGGCCAGATGTGCGAGCGTGTGTGTGTGTGCGGCCAGGCCGGGTGTGCGAGCGTGTGTGTGCGTCTGTGGCCAGGCCGGGTTCTGTGTGCATGTGTGTGCGTGTGTGCGTGTGCAGCCTGGCCGGGTGTGCGAGCGTGTGTGTGCGTGTGCGGCCAGGCCAGGTTCCGTGTGCGTGTGTGTGTGCGTGTGCGGCCAGGCTGGGTTCTGTGTGCGTGTGCAGCCAGGCCGGGTGTGCGAGCATGTGTGTGCGTGTGCGGCCAGGCCGGGTTCCGTGTGCGTGTGTGTGTGTGTGCAGCCAGGCCGGGTGTGTGAGCGTGTGTGTGCGTGTGCGGCCAGGCCGGGTTCCGTGTGTGTGTGTGTGTGTGTGTGTGCGCGCGTGTGCGGCCAGGCCGGGTTCCGTGTGCATGTGTGTGTGTGCATGTGCGGCCAGGCCGGGTTCCGTGTGCGTGTGCGAGCGTGTGTGTGTGTGTGTGCGGCCAGGCCGGGTTCCGTGTGTGTGTGTGTGTGCGCATCTGCGGCCAGGCCGGGTTCCGTGTGCGTGTGTGTGTGCGTGTGCGGCCAGGCCGGGTTCCGTGTGCGTGTGTGCGTGTGCGGCCAGGCCGGGTGTGCACATGCATGTGTGGCCGGGCCCGCTTCAGGTCCGCGGGAGGGCGGTGAGCAAGGGGCCAGGCATGGGAAGAGGGCCTGTCAGGAGCAGGGCTGAGCACCGCAGGCACAGTCTCTCCAGAAACATGTGCTCAGGGGTTCTTGAAGGTGCAGACTTTCCCTCTTGGGACAGAAGCGGGGGGCTGGAGGGTCTGAGCTCTGGGCACCCCAAGGCCGGTCGGTGCTACTTGTTTCCTGAGCGCGGGTGAGCAGTGGGTGAGCGGGTCGAAGGGTTTGTGTGCAGTGAGACATAACCCGCTTATTCTCATGGGCTTCCCAGGCCCCCGGCCCACACTCTCTTTGCTGAGGGGCTCTGGGGAGCCCAGGCTTGCTCAAGGTCACCCCGTGAGAGCTGAGGGAGGAAGGGTCTGGAGAAGCCCTCCCACTGGCGAGCCTGACCAGCCTCCACGCTGTGACCCCTCCTTCCGGCCAGACATCAGGGGCAGCTCACCATGCATCAGGTGCTGTCAGGGGGGACGGCCTTACTGGCTGGAGCGCCCCCTGCTCCAGCCCTCTCCACCCTCCTCTCCACCCTCAAGCAGACTTTCCAACGCCGGCTGCACCTGTCCCGCCCGGTCCTGTGACTCACACACCTGTGCTCCAGCCTCACCCAAAGCCCCCTTTCCACCTGCCACACAGATAGCATATAATCCCCATCTCTACGGGGACACTCCCACACTCCCTCCACCACACGACTCAAAAACCTCCTCCCGTGAAGCTTTTCCTGCTCTCTCTGGGCCCCCCAGGAGCTGGGTGCCTCACAGCCTGCCAACACTACAGTCAGGCAAACAGCCCCTGCACATTCCGCAACCACTGGGAAAGTTTCTCCACACCGCCCATCCCACTTGAGCGGCTCCAGGTCGGTGTCCAGGGTAGTGATCCTGGGACACCCACGGCCTGCCTCCTGTCACCCCAGGAATGAAGCAACACTGCATCACTAACGCCCCCAACTGTTGATGCACTACTATTCCTGAAGGATGTTTTCTCTTTGCGCTCATAAAAACTTTTGCAAGGGGTCTCCGTCCTGGCCATCTTGGCAGTTGCCCTTGGGGTGGGGAACAAAAAAGTCACTGGAGTCAATCATCTGTAGGCTCCAACGTTTCAGGAAAAGGGGACGGTGTGCGCCTGGCCCCAAGCAGACCCTGAAGATGAGCAGACAGGCAGAGAAAGACTGGCTGTCCCCGTCAGCGCCTGCTTGGCCTGGGGTCACAGGGGACAAAGCGCCACGCACGTCAGCCCACGCTGGGGCCCACCACACCAGGGGCAGCTCACGTGGAAGAGGGCGCAGAGGGCACACCCAGCTGCCGCCCATCCAGACAAGTCTGCTATCACGAGGGGCAGGCCAGAACAGACTGGTGAAAAGTAAATCATGCAAAGTATTTCTTTAATAAAACTGGCCAGAGCTTGTTTTAAAAACAAACAACTCTCCCAAGGGAACAAGACAGGTCACAGCATCATCCCCCTGATACATGACAGGGCTAAGCCTCTGAGAGGTCCTACAGCCTGACTCCCCAGTCCAGTGTGCTTCCACAAGCCCCAGGCCCCCCAGAGGTCATCAACCCCACGCTGAGGCTGGGAGGCAAGAACAGCCTGCATCTTCAGGTCCTGGGGGTTGGGAAGCCCACTGGTGCCCCAAACAGCCAAGGAACTGCACTGTCAGTAAAACTCATTAAACCTCATTCTCCAGAGGTGCTCCCCAATCTCCAACCTCAGCCCCCTCACATGAGCCACCCAAGCTCCTCTGGCTCTGCCCTCGCCGAGGGGGGGAGGGGGGGAAGAAGAGGAAGGCAGCCAGTTTCTCTCTTGGGCACATTTGCCACTGGCTTTGAGGACCCCCCAAAACCACACGTGCACAGGATGGGGTTCTTGAATGCTTCAGCTGCTTATGAGAGGAGATACGTGTCCTGTCCGAGCCTCCGCAGGTCACTCCAGCAAGGCACAGAAGCCTAGCAGCCCGAAGCTGAACAGTGAGAGACTGGACCCAGTGCTGGCCAGGTGGCCCAGCTGCACCGTCTCCCACTGTGGGGGGGGATGTCAATAGTGTCAAGAAGGACATCCACAAAGGAGACCAGGTTCAGAGGAAGGTAGCAGACCAGTAAGGAACCCACAGGCCATCCCACACAGCAGCCTGGGAAGAGACAACCGGGCAGACACACCCGGGCAGACACGGGTCCTCTGGGAGTCCCGGAGAACTTTGGGAGAGCAGACCAGCAGCCTTGTCTCAAGTTACCCCAGAAGACAAGGTGGGGTTCATAGGGGAAAGAACTTTCTTTTTTTTTTTTTTAAGATTTATTTATTTGAGAGAGCGAGAATGAGAGAGAGTACATGAGAGGGCAGAGGGGAGAGGGTCAGAGGGAGAAGCAGACTCCCCGCTGAGCAGGGAGCCCGATGTGGGACTCGATCCCGGGACTCCGGAATCATGACCTGAGCCGAAGGCAGTTGCTCAACCAACTGAGCCACACAGGCGCCCGAAAGAACTTTCTTCTTGAGCAGGCATTTCTCCAAGGAAGACATACAAATGGCCAGAAGCACATAAAAAGATACTCAACATCACTATTCATTATGGAAATGCAAATCAACCTCACAATACCACTTCACATCCAGTAGGATGCTATTATCAAAGAACAAACACATGAAACACAGAAAATCCCAAGTGTGAAGGAGGATGTGATTGGACCCCTGGGCATTGCTGATGAGAATGTAAAATGGTACAGCCATGGTGGAAAACAGTGTGGTAGTTCCTCAAAAAATTAAAAATAGAACTACTGTATGAGGTAGCAATTTCACTTCTGGGTATTTACTCAAAATATCTGAAAGCAGGGCCCCAAACAGATACTTGTACAGCGGAGTTCACTACAGCGTCTGCCACGGCAGCCAGAAAGTGGAAGCAACTCAAGTGGTCCATCATGCACGAATATTCCTCAGCCTCAAAGAGGAAGGGAACTCAGACACTTGCTACAACAAGGATGAACCTGGAGGACATCACGCTGCGTGGAATAGACCCGTCTCCAAAAGGCAACTACCATTTGATTCCACTTACATGAGGAGTGACTCTCAGAGACAGAGAGCAGGTGGTGGTCCCCTCCGTGTTTGATGGGGACAAAGTTTCAGTTCTGCAGGATGGAGAGTTCTGGGAGTGGATGGGGGGACGGCTGCACAACAGCAAAATTGTCCTTAACACCACTGAATAGATACTTAAAAATGGCTACAGTGGTAAAAATTAAGTTACATATATTTTACCATGATTCAACGTTTTTTAAAGACAAAGAAAACTTTCCAACAAAACAGAATTTCGGGGGGCCTGGGTGGCTCAGTCATTAAGCGTCTGCCTTCGGCTCAGCTGATGGTCCCAGGGTCCCAGGATCGAGCCCCGCATCGGGCTCTACCCCTCCCCCCTGCTCATGATCTCTCTCTCACACTCTCTCTCTCTCTAATAAATTTTTAAAATCTTTAAAAAAAAATTTCAGCAGTTAAAAAAAACACATTAATCATGCAGTTACGAAACAACACATTTTTGGAAAATATTTGATAACATGAGAATGCTCACAGTATTCTACACACACACACACACACACACACAAATGTACTTAGAAAAACGAAAGAAGCATACTAAAATATTCTCACTGGTTTTCTCGAGGTGGTAAAGATACTGATAATAATTATTTTTCATACATTTGTGGAATTTTTCATGTTCTATATCAAGAACAGTAATTTCAGTAATTCCCCAAAGGAAATTATTATCACCTTTAACATCTTTTAGTAACTGTGGTACACCAAACACAGCTACAAATTCTTTGTGGTTCCTCGCATCAAGCTGTGGAGTGACTTCCCCCGCCTGCGCCTCTGTGGCCGGCAGGAAGGTGATGGCGACAGGGAGAGCCGAAGGCCCCAGCTGCCACCAGCACCGCAAGTCGGACCGGCAGCTGGTGCTGACTCCCGCAGGTCGCAGGTCCGGGCGGGAATTGCCTACCTGGCTTCCTTCCAAAATCTTGAGTGGATACATGGTTGCTGTTTCCGCACCGCTTTGGGGGTGACTTGCTACACAGCCACAAAGCTGAAACATCCCCCGCCACGCCCACCATGCCACGCCCACCACAGTACCTGTCCAGGGGGTGCCCGTGGCCTCCTGGCTCCACGAGCTCCAGGAGCCGTGCCCAAACTCCTCCCGCGCCCGGAGCTGCACCACGTGCTGCATGCCTCTCCAGGCATCGTGGATGATGCAGTGGTGCTGGAGCTCCTGGACCTGCAGGCAGGGGGCACAGCGACAGTGGGGTGAGGCCTGGGGGGGCTCTGGTCAGGCAGCCCTTGGCCACCCTGCCCTGCAGCTGCATGCTCTCTCAGGTCCAGGGAGTGAGAGCTCCAGGCTGCACAGAGATGCTCAGAGCCTCAGGGCACGATGGGGCTCCCCTGGGCCCAGGCGGTGGAAGCTGTAAGTCCTGCCCACAGAACCCTGCAGGCCACACCCTCAACCCGCGAGCAGCCCAACTGCCTGCCGCGGTCCTGCGCGTCCTCTCAGACAGGCCTGTGACCATCGTTCCTATTTGCTGCACGAGACAACTAAGGCTCAGGAGGAGTCAGAGACTCCCCCAAGGCCTGCAGGCTGAGTCACAGAGCAGCACCCAGAACCGTGTTTTCCGTTCCAGTAACCCTGAGTACCCAGCCACACTTTACTGTCCAGAAGTGAAAGAAGAATTTACCATCCACGTGGTGAACGTCTGTGACCGTTCAGCCCGGTACCGGAGCTCAAACTGCAGCCTGTAGAAATAGGAGTTCCAGGAGGGGGGGTCTTTCCAGGTGACACTGAGCCAGCGGGGGTTTCCGTCCACAGCAGTGACAGTGACGTTGGCAGGCGGGTCAGGCTGCACTGTGGGGGAGGAGAGCAGGCTCCCATGCGGCAGCGAGTGTGGTGCACGTCCCCCTGAAACAGGCAGCACCCCACCCCAGCGCCCAGACCACTTCCCTGTGCCATCTTGCCAGGGCCCCCGTCCACCTGCCAGGCCCCTGGCAAAGGAAGCCCCAAAAGGCACCGGCTCAGCAAACCACAGCACCAGCCCCACCCAGCCCCTCCCAGCCCCCCCCACCCCCCCGCCGAGCATCTATGAGGGGCCGTCGAGGCTGGGGTACTGGGAGAGCTTACTCACAGATTCCGTAGCCCTCAAACGTGTGGGGTTTGCTGGACTTGCTTCCAGCACTGTTGCTGACGCACAGGGACACGACATACAAGGAGTTGTCTCCCTCCGGGACCTCCAGCAAGCAGGAGAACTTCCGGGACCCCTGGGAATACAGGCACAGCTCCTGGGAGTCCCCCAGCGGGCTGCTCCGGCTGTGGACACAGGACGGGACAGGCTCACCACCAGCGTCTGCCCTTATTCGGGGTGGGGGAGGGCAACAGAGCCAAAACGCTCCACACTCAGCAGCACTTAGTACGTCTTGTGATTTCAGTCAATTATCAAACATCACCAAGCCTCTGTTTTCTCATTTGAAAATGGGAATATTAGTAATACCCACGTCACAGGGGTTTGTTAGGATTCACTGAGAATGGAGTGAGACATCAAGGCTAGTGCCTGGCCCGGCAAGTCAAAATGCTGAGCTAAAAAGCACACTCGGCCCCTGAGGCACTGGATAGGGGAACCTTCCAGCCTCGTCCCAATGCAGGTGCCACAAGGGGTCTGGGGAGGCCTCATCCCTGGCCTCAAGCCTCTAAGGAAACGCCTTCCCCTCGGGGGACGAGGGCAGCCAGTGGAACAGCCAAGCACCAGGCTCGCAGGCTCCCCGAGGAGGTGGGAGCGTTTCCAGCCGATGGGCCCGGGAAAGACTTCTGGGTGGCCACAGATATTCAAGGTGAGTCAGATACGGCCCCACCTGGCCCACTTACAACATGTGTGGGCGCGGGAGGTGCCGCAGCCACCCGCCTTGCCTCTGGGGCCACACATCACTGCTGACTCAGGTGTAGACCCCGGGCCCGGAACAAACTCTTTCCCTCTGGGCAGCCTGCCCCTCCGTTCCCAGGGGGAGTTAGCGCCTCCATCCCACCTAACGCTGAGGAGGTGGGTTGCCAGGGAGGGCTTGAGGATGGGCGTCTCTCCAGCAGTCCCAGTAAGTACCGAGTCCAGGGCAGGTGCTGGGGAAGAACGGGTGAGCCAGCCCGCTGGGGCGAGGCTGTAACGTGCGCGCACACACCTCTTCCCCGGGGACTGTGAACCTCCCCCCACCCAGGCACAGGGTCCCCAGGTGCGGCTCCGCTCCCGCTTCCTCAGTCCAGGACAGGGGAGGTGCCATCGGGACGCGTGAGCCCGCCAAGTGTGCCACCCGAACCGGCTTTCTGTGGCTGGTCTGGGTGGCCGCCAGCCACGGTGCAGCACACCCTGTCTGGGGACAAGCACCCTCCAGGTCCCAGACAATTACACCCACAACCCAGCTTTGGGTTCTGGTGGGTTCCAGTTCTCCCTATGGGCAGCAGTGCCCTTTGCAGATGAACAATGTGCACAGTTCTGCACAGAGACCAGGCCTGACAACTCTGCAGACAGACACCATGGAAACCAACTGCCTTGCTTAAGTCACCGCTCAGATTTTTGACACTGATGACCCAACAGCTCAAACTCCATTACAGACACCCGGACGGAGGGGCCCTGCGCTGGGGACGGAGGCTCATGTGTTTTCAGCAGCTCCCCGCTCCTCACAGCCATCCTGGGCTCCTCCCAGGCCCAGCACTGCTTCGGGTCCCACACCCACCCTCTCCCTGCCCCAGCTCACTGCTCTCAAGGCCTGTTTAGGGGAAAGAGCCTGACAAAGGGCTCCCACCGTCAAGACTACTGAGGAGCTCTTGCCCTCACAGGGGCACCTCTGCATCTTCTTCACAGCACACCCCAAACCTGACATTTTGGATAAACTCAGACAGACTGGGATCTGATTCCTAGTGGAGCCACTTACAAGCACCTTAAAGCAAGTTCATGGATGGCTCGAGCTCAGCCTCTCCACCTGTTAAACAAGGAAAACGACACCCCCTCCTCCCCCAAGCCTGCGTGGTCATGAATGCAGCGCCGCCCAGCTGGCAAGTTCTCGGTAGGTCCCCCACTCCCTCCTCCCCATCCCAAAGTGATGACTTCCCAGTGATGAAGTCTGGGAACCACTGGCGAGCAGCCCACTTGCTGTGGTGAGAGCCGTCAGCCCTCGAGGGGCCTCACTAAGGATGGAGAAGACGTGGACACACAGCCCGGCCCGGATACTCACAACTTCCTCACCAGTAACGTGGCCCTGGTCGTCGGGGAGGGTGGGCGCCGAGGACCCCACTCACAGGCTACCTTGCTGAGCGGACTCTTCCGGAAGCAGGCGAGCTGGGGCTCCTCAGGGGGCACTGAAGGGAGAGCACAGCCAGTGTGAGGAGGGAGCACGGCCCTGCAGCCAGCCAGCCCCAAGGCCAAACAGCAGGCCCCCCCCGCCACACACACACACACACACACACACACACACTCGCACGATCTTCCCAACAACGGTAAGGTAATAAAATTAACCATATTGACCACCAGGGACACTGGACACAGGGGTGAAGCTGGGAAGGAGGAGGAGCACCCAAATCTACGCCGCAGGCTGTTCCCCGGGCCTCTGCCCTAAGCACTCAGGCCAGGGGGAGGGTGGGGTCCCCGTCAGGCAGATGCCCCCACCCAAGAGGAGGCTCCTCCATCTCACTGCTGGCAGACGTCAGTGACAGCTGGGACCCGTCTCCTAGCACTCTGAGCTCGCAACTCACCGTCCACCAGCAAACGCACGGTTCCAGCCAGGCGGCCATCCTGGTAACATGAATAGTTTCCGGAGTCACTGAGCTGCACCGACCTCAGAAGCAGCCTCCTTCCCATGGCAGCCCAGCTGCTCTGGTGTGAGCCTGCCACATAGTTCTCCAGCAGCCAGTGAACGGTGGCCTTGTCCCCCGGCTCCCCGCCCGGGCAGGTCAGGGTCACACTGGCCCCAGGCAGGCTGGTCACCATATCACTCACCACTTCTGTGGAGGGAGAAGACACTCAGTAAGCCTACAGCAGCCGGGAAGGACTTTGCTTCTGATCTGGGAAGCCAGGGGCTTCAGAACCACACGTCCCTCAAGCCCATCCACTGGCCCAGGCCACAGCCCCCGGGGGGCCTCCAGAAGCGGCCCCTGGCCACCCGACTCCTTTGGTCAGAAAACCCTTGGGGCGCCTGGGTGGCTCAGTTGGCTAAGCATCTGCCTTCAGCTCAGGTCATGATCTCAGGGTCCTGGAATCGAGCCCCACATCTCTGGGTCCTAAGATCGAGCCCCACATCGAGCTCCCTGCTCCGCAGGGAGTCTGCTTCTCCCTCTGCCTCTCCCCCACCCCATGCTCACACACTCTCTCTTTCACATAAATAAATAGAATCTTTTAAAAATGTATACATAAATAAAAATTAATTTTTAAAGAAAAGAAAAAAGAAACCCCTCAGGGGCCTGCCACTGTCCACAGCATGAATTCCGAGCGTGAGGCCTGGCGCACAGGGCTTTCCACCACCCGCCTCCCCAGCGCTTGCAGGCCTCACCTCTCCGCACGCCCCTCAGAAGGTACAGAGCCCCTCCCCCGCCCCACACGACCTCCTATGTCAGGTCTCAGCCTCAATACCCCCTCCCTGAGGCCTTCCCTCACCCCCAGCTGGATCAGGCCCCCACCAGGCGCGGTCTTCCTCAGCCCGTCAGCCATCACACACTGCCATATGGTCACCAAGTCTGTATCTGCCTTCTCTCCAACACGAATGCCGCGAGAATCGACACCCTGTCTTCTTGTTATAGTTCAGTGCCTGGCCCGCTGCCTGGCACATGACAGGGGCCCACTGGACGCACGATGGGTTAGTGACTGAATGAAGGCATGCAGATACCCAGCTGGGGCTCACAAGATGCAGTACTACAGGAGAAGTCTCAGGATCGCTGGAGCTTCACGGTAGGTGGCCCATTTTACAGACAGTAAGACACAGAGGCATTAGGAGATCTGCCCAAGGTCACCAGTAAGCTTGCTGCACAGCTGGGGTGTGGCCACCTCTGTCCAGGGACCCACTCCTGTCTATGAAACCTGTAGGACCATGCTATTTTTATTCTAGGGAGCAAATTAGAAGGTAAAAAAGAATAAATGCGCTCCCTACCCCTGAAAAATATCATGTACGTGCTACTCAAAGAAAAGAATATTGAAAATTAAAGGAACAGGTAAACTTTTTTTAGTATAGGTTAAACAGAGTCAGAGAATTTGAGATAAAATTAGTCTAACCAATTAATTAAATGAGTCCACCCAGCTAAGGGAATCGAGGCCAGTTTTCATATTAAGCACACTTGGCCCTTCAAACGATTTATTAGCGAGGAGCAGCAATAAATCTGGCCAAAGATTTCGGAAAAGCCCAGCAGGAACCGCCCTCCCCTTCTCCCGAGCCCCCGAGCCTGGAGGGCCGGCATCAGTGTGTCTGACCTGCTAAGCCTTCTTGCTCAGGAAGAGGAGTTTATGTCACCTTGGCAGGCTGTCCTTCCTCCTGCCCATCCAAGGTGGCAGTCAGAAGGACTAAGGGCCAGTGAGCCCCCCAGGAGGAGAGCACCCCCAGAGCGCCCGCTGGACACGGCGCACGGCCTTCAAGTGTCCTCCTCACTTCACCACGTGGAGCCAGACGCGCCCCGCCCGCCTGCCCCCAGCACTCTCTGGGTGAGAAAGGTAGTTGAATCTCACCGTGCAGGCGGTCACTTTGGGCAGGTTCCTTAGATCCCTTGGCCTTGATACACCTCCCTCTGTCCTACGTTCCACAAATATTCGAGAAGGCGCCCAGCGCCAGGTGCCAGTGAGGAGGACACCAGCAGCAGAGAGACCCTGCCCTCAAGGACAGAAGACACATTCCCCACAGCAGAACGGGGACACGGGAACCACACTTCCCCAACAGCAGCAAAGTCCCACCCCCCAAAGCCCAGGTCCCCTGAGGGTGCTTCCCTGCCCAGATGGCTTGAAAGGGTTCGGAAAAGCCCGAATTACAGCACAACTTTCATATAGAATCCTCAATAATATATTTACAGCATTTCAGATATTGTTTTTAAAGGTACTCCCAAATACTGAACACATGCACAGTAACACATGTGCTACACACAGAAGTTAGGAAGCATGAGACACCCCCAGCCCTTGCATAGCCACTGTCCTGGAAGCCCCCTGCCTTGGCGGTGTTACAGTTTGGGTGCAACCATCCTTTACCTTTGATAATAGGTTCACTGCGCACAGACCCCTAATTTCTTCTTGGCCTCAATTGATTTGGAGGCTTTATAGAAAAGGTCTGTATGTAGTCTGCTGGAACGTGCTTTTTCACCATCCACTGTGGCTCTGGGACTCACCCACCTTCCTGCCTGTGATACTCCGCTGCACACTCAGGTGGTTCTCCTGCTCGGGGAGGGCTGGGTGGCTTCCAGCGCCCTGCTGCATCAGGGTGTGGCTACCAACCTTCTCACGTGTGATCCTGGTCATTTGCCCAGGACGCTCCCCGGAGCAGGACTGCCCGTCCCTGTGCGTCTGTCACATGCGTCTGGTTCCTTCATGACTGAACACGCAGTCAAGGGTATGTACGCCGATGGGCACCCGATGGGTGCGTCTGGCCCACAGAATGATTTCCATCTGTGCCCGATGAGGCTCTGTCTTGTAGGACCCGCCTAACCTCTACACCTGAGATCAAGTCACATGCTCTATGGAGGGAGCCACCAGGCACCCCTATCTTTTGTTTGTTTTTTTTTTAAGATTTTATTTTTACCACCCAACACTTCTGATCACCATATCCATATTTTTACTTCTCCATTTTCCACTTGCTAAAGCAGCTCTAAGGATAAAAGTTAACACAGATGTCAAGCTCATATGCACAAACTACCACCACTGTAGGAACTAGGACGGAGACACTCTGCCAAAGAGAACTGTGCGGGTCGGTGCGGAGCTCCACGACCCCCCAGCAGCCGATAAAACGGAAATCGTAATTCACCAGGCACCAACACCAACAGACACGGGCAGCTTGCACGAAGGTCCACCCACGGCTCATCCTCTCATTGACACTTTCCCAGCCGTGACTGGGAGACAGGGGCTCCCACTAATACTCATCAAAGAACTCAGGGGGTGCTTAATACAGGCTTAATGTAGGGTGCCCAAGAGGGACCCCAGGGACAGGGCCTCCCCACCGGAAATGGCCAAGAGCGCTAGCCACAGATGACACAGGGATCTCAGTGGTGCGGCTGCCCCCCCAACCCGCCCCATGCTGCACAGCCGCCGCCGCAGACGGGAGGAGGTGCAGCAGCCGCAGAAGGGAGGAGCAGGGGAGTCTGGAGGAGTCTGCGGAGATGCCATGGAAAGAAAACGGGAGCCTGGAGCTGGAGGGAGCTCTCTCCCGCTTCTGCACTTGCCCGTTCCAGGAAATTCGCTTCTCTGCCCACTTCCCTCCCCCAGTTCAGACGGAAGCTCCTGCCGTGTGCAGTGACCAGCCTGATCAACAGCAGGGCTGTTCCTTCCCCGCTCGCTCTAACAATGCCCAAAGCACTGGGGCAGCTCAGAGAAATTGCAAATCAAAAGGCTTTTTTTCTCGTCCACAAAAGCAGAGCTGGGGGAGCAACATGATGGCCACTCCCTCTGCCAAGTAGCTTGAGTAATGGTTTTCTGAATCTTTAAAACTGAGTCACTATTTTTTTTTTAATGGGGAATGATTAATTATAAACCACCCATTGGCAACTATTGCTTGTCCCAGCCCTTCTTCAAAATGTGTTTCTTCCAGGGACACCCGGCTGGCTCAGTCGGTAGAGCGTGTGACTCTTGATTTCAGGGTCATGGGTTCAAGCCCCACGATGAGCACAGAGGGTTACTCAAAAAAAAAGCATGCAAACTATGTCTTTTCGAGAACCTGTGAAGAACACTGTGTTAACTACGCTTCTAAAAGCACTGCATGAAGGCTGGTCAAATACTCAGAGAGGAAAGACCACAAGAAAATAATCGTGCTGATGCCAGAGTGGGCAAGGCTGTCCCTCCACCCGCCCCCCCCCGGCCACCCACTCACTGCTGCTCCCAACCATTCTCCAAGCCAGTGCCCACGACACCCGCGTGGCTGGGCGGGAGCCTCCAAGCGTCTCCTTGAAGGGAGGAAATGATGTCCCCAGCGCCCTCCTGGCACCTCTGCCCACCTCTCCAGAGGGTGGGACTGGAAGTGATTTCTTTCTCTTCCTTCCATCTTCCTGCAGTTTTTAGATGTTTTTTTTTTTTTTTTTAAGATTTTATTTATTTATTTGACAGAGAGAGACACAGCGAGAGAGGGAACACGAGCAGGGGGAGTGGGGGAGGGAGAAGCAGGCTTCCCGCTGAGCAGGGAGCCCAATGCGGAGCTCCATCCCAGGACCCTGGGATCATGACCTGAGCCGAAGGCAGACACTTCACCGACTGAGCCCCCCAGGCGCCCCAGTTTTTAGATTTTTCTATAAGCTTTATTATTCTCAGAACAAATATATATTCATTTAAAACAAAGAAGCTACACAGCCTGGGTCTGTCCAAGTTATTCAGTCTCAGGAGGGAGGAGGAGGTGGGGCAGAGCACAAGGGAAGCCGGGGGACAGGGGAGGGTGAGGGTGGGCTCCTCAGGACAAGCCCCTCCAGGTGTGGAGGGTTCACCCGCCCTTGGGCTCCGTGCCCCGTTTCTTGTCACTTTCGCCCTGCTCTACAGCCCTTCAGCTCTGCTGGCCGGATCCCCTGGTCTGCACAAGGTCATGGTTGCTCCCCATCTGCCTCTGCTTGTCTGCTCCTGGGCGGCCCCTTCTTGCTCCAGCCATTCTTCCAGATGCGTCTCCATGGCCCTCACTCCCACCCCGGGCGATGGGGGCAGCAGGGAGGAGCTGAGCTGCACACTCTAGCACTGAACAAAAAGCATGCAATTCGGCACCTGCCCAGAGCAACTGCTCTGCTGTCTGGGGGCAGGGGTGCAAGCCTGTGCCTGCCCCTCCTAAGAACACAAGGGTTTCTGTGCTCCATCGCAGGCAAGGCCAGAAGTCCTCACTCGGGGGAATGGATAGTCAACACCACTGTGCACCAAGGCTCCACTTGCCCTCGTCCACACTGTAATCTCAAACCCCACAAAACCCAGGCCATCCTGAGCTAACGGTCCCCGACGTACTGAGGGCTCCGGGGAAGGGAGATCTGAGTCGGGGGTCTGATCAGCGGAATGCCACTGTTCCATCAGGGGAACAACTGGAAAAGGCGCCAAAAAGGGAAAGCCCACGGGGGAGGGGGGGCATGTGGGGTCCTCAGGGGGTGAGACCTGCCTCTGCAGACGGAAGGGCACGGGCTCAAGGCCTCCAGCCCCAACCCTGACAGGAGCCAGTCCCGCCCCTTCCTTCTGTTTACCCTCCAATCCCCTAGAGAATGAGCCGCTGTCCCCCAGCTCCTGCATAAAGCGCCCTGGAGGCAGGAGACAGGAGGGGGCAGTCAAGGACTGGGAGCCTTCTTCGTTTGTCCCAAGGCCAGTGTCAGAAGCAGGACAGCAGTACCCTGCACCCCGCCTTCCTGCGAAGACAAGGGTCCTGCGGAGGATGAAAGCACATCACCTGGGACCGAAATCAGAAGTGTCCACTCCTGAAAACAAAGGTCCCAGCATCGCCTCCCTGAATGCCAAAGCGCTTGGTGTCGCGTCTCCCGGCCCGACGCTTACCGTGAACTACGCATCGAGGA